CCCAGGCATGACAGGAAAGCCAGTTTTTAAGGGCTGAGCGGAAGGTCTGGAGGGTGGTGAGGGTACGAATCTCCACGGGGAGATCGTTCCATAGGGTCGGAGCTGCCACCGAGAAGGCTCTCCTCCGCGTGGTTGCCAGTCGACATTGACTGGCTGATGGAACTCGGAGGAGGCCTAATCTGTGGGATCTAATTGGTCGAGTGGAGGTAATTGGCAGTAGGCGGTCTCTCAAGTACCCAGATCCACTACCATGAAGGGCTTTGTGGGTGACAAGTAGCATCTTGCTGTACTGCCTTCCTGTACAAAGCAGTAATGCTTCCAAACCAGAGTGTAATGCAATATGACAGGATGCTCTCGATTGTCCGTCTATAGAAAGTGGTAAGGACGAGGAAAGGAAGATGTATTTTTCTCATGCAACACAGAAAATGCAGGTGCTACTGTGCTCGCTTCATCAAAGTCTCACTGTTGAGTGACAAAGACAGCCTACTCATTAGCTGCATACCCAGAAACTTGATGCTGCTAACCACCTACACAGGTAAATTATTAATACTCAGACATGCGTCGCTGTGCCTGCATTTTCTGAAATCGACAATGATCTCTAGTTTTTCCAACTTTTAAAACAAGGCTGTTTTTATTACACCAGTTCACCAAACCCTCTACCTCCTTATGGTAAGCATCCTCATTGTTGTCCTGAATAAGGCCCACTATTGTGGTATCATCCGCATACTTCACTGATAGTTGGTGACAAACCTAGTACAATAGTCAACAGGGTGACCAGCAGACTTAGCACACAGCCCTGAGGAGAACCTGCGCTCAAGAAAATATTGTTAGAAATATTAGATCCAATTCGTTAATACTGGGGCCTCTCAATAAGAAAATCAAGAATCCAGTTGCATAAAGGAGTATTAAAGCCTAAACAACCCAGTTTGTCTACTAGATGCTGAGGGACAATTATATTAAACTGAAGTAGACAAACAACATTCACAGATGAGTATTTCTTTCCTCTAAGGGCGCCAAGCTCAGATGGAGAACACAAGAAATAGCATCCTCTGTGGAATGATTTGGACGGTAAAAAATTGAAGCGAGTCAAATGCTGGAGGGAGACTAAATACAATAATGTCCTTTATCACTCTCAAAACATTTCATAATGATGGATGCAAGTGCAACTGAACAGCAGTCACTGAGACCCATAATTGTAGACTTTTTTGGCACTGGCCCAAAAAAACCCCCATGATGGGACCCCTCCCTGCTGCAATAAAAGATATCTGTAAGAAACACAAGCCAACTCATCTGCACATTCCCTAAGAACACACCCGGGAATATTATCTAGGTCTGCTGCCTTCCAAATGTTAACTTTCTACAATATCCTTTGGATCAAGGTAACATCAAAGCTAAGCACTTGCTCATCAGGATGGGGCACAGCTTTTCTTGCAGGGGTCTTATTCCAAAATTGTGTTCATTTATAAATTTTGTGTCACCCTTGCAAATCGATGGAGCCACCTTATAATCTGTAATGTCCTGGATTCGTTGCCACATACACCTGTTCGTCGGGTACTGAAAAAAGTTCTAACTTTCTTACAATGGCCTTACTCAGCTCTTTTTATGGCACTTTTCAAATGGGCTCTGGCTGTTCTAAGTGCCATCATATCACCAGATTTAAAAGCCACATTCTATGCTTTTGACATCTTGCGAATCTCATATGTCAACCTTGGTTTTTTCATTAGCCCTCACAACAATGTTTTTAAGGACTCAGACAACCTCAATGCACTTTTGAATATATGCAGATACAGTGCTGGAATACTTCTCTATGTTTATATGTTAGTTATCTGTTACTGCTTCTTTAAACATGTCCCAATCCCTGTGGTCTGCCTAGCACAAACCTCTGTATATGGCAGCCACAGTTGCTGGTGAAACATCAGGAAATCTATTTTCTAGACCCTGTTTACAAAACCCTGAAGTCCAGCATTGCCCAACAGATATTAGCCATGAAAGCCTACACCAGTAAACCTTTGACTGTCTTTGAAAAAACAATCTTTTGTTTGACAATTAACTAAGAATACTAGAAAAGCTAAGATTAAAACAAAATATACTCTTATACAAAATCCAACCTTAATTACAACCACTAGCAAAGACATCTGCAACAAATTTACTAATCTGAGAATTCATTTATGCCACCTTGGCCATTCTATGTGCATTCACGCAATCCATCACTTTCCTCATTTATTACCAAACCACATTTTCTGAATGATATCAATTAATTTCAACAAAGGATCCAGTAGAAATAAGATAGAATTGAATGGAAAAAATATCCATATTCCTTATGTTATGTTATATTTGAATGAAAAGGTCTAAAAGTCACTAGTGATATCAAAAGACTGGAGAATTTACAGCATCAGATCTTTTTATATTCATAGCCAGCTTTTTCATAATGTAACAGAACTGCATGCATTCTTTGAAAAAAAAACAAAGCTTGCTATTTGCATTTTTATCTTAATATTATGAGACAGAAACGAAAGATAAAACTGAGTCAGCTCACTAATATCACACACATATGCAAAAAGGAAATAGGATTTTACTTGTTTTTTGTTAGTTTTAAATGATGAATTGTAAACCACCATCCTTTTAAACATCTCTTGAGGCTGAAAAGAAGGAAAAACAACTCACTGAATTATCAGCTAGTTCATTAGATATGCATGCTCCACTCCTTCATGCTCACATGCATTTTAATGTTCTTCAATTTTACATATTCTATTTCTCTAATCAAAGTTACAGAATTACTGGAAAAAACAATCCTGTGGGATGTACATGGTTTTCAGAACTGTGGATAGGCAAATAGATGATGGTTACAAAAGCCAGCTCTTCTGGACTATTCCAACTTTTCTTGGGAAGAGCCCTAGAAAGGGAAGGTAAGAAGCTGGTTACAACCATCTATGTTTAACTGAATTCTTCTTCCACCATTAATATCAGGCTGTCCTGTAAGAAGAATCTCTAAAGGAAGAAGCCAGAAATAAGGCTAACTCAAAGGACAAATCACTGCAGTTTTCTTGGCCATCTTTTCAGAAATAGTTTGCTATTGCCTGGGTCTGAGAGAAAATGATTAGATCAAAGTTATTCAGGGAGCTTCCATACCGAACAGAGAATAAGAACTTACAGTCTTTAGGTTTCTAATCCAGCACCTTTGACCACTACACCAAACTTCCACACACTTCCAAATTAAGTATCTTATTTAGCAACTTCTTGAAATTGTATTTTTACCATCCAATCAAAATTTGCCAAATACTGCCATCACAGAATTTATTTTAATGCATATCCAACTATTATAGAAGCATAAGCATTTTAATTATATCCTTTTCAGAAGACAGAAGCACTGAAGCCCTTCCAACCATGGTTTCAGCAACTTGGCAAATTTTTGAACACCCATCTAATGAGTGTTAACCTTCTTTTATCACCATAGAACATACTACATATTGGCATAATATGTATTAGGTACAAACTAAAGACTAACAGTGGCCAAAGCTGTTGCTGACAGCATATATACTACAGGGGTGGGTTCCGAGTGCTGCTACTGCCAGTTTGCTCAGAGACGCACCGTGCACACTTGATGCGTGCTGCGTGCACATGCATAGTGCAACAAAAATTGCTCTGCGCATGTGCAGAAGGTATAAACAAGATGATGGTGCCTACAGTGCCGTTGAGAGAACCAGTTTGGGGGCATGGCACTGTCAGTTCCAGTGA